CGACGCTTGTCTTTGCGGTCGTCGGGGCTGCGGCTGCGGTCTCTGCGCTTTTCTCTTCGCCGCTCGCTGTCGTGGTAGTCGTCGTCGCGGGTGCGCTCTCTCCGCTTGTCGCGGCGCCGATCGCTGTCATAGTAATCGTCTTTTTCGCGTCGACGGTCCTTGTCTCGTCTTCGCTCGCTGTCGTAGTCGTCTTCGCGCCGGCGGTCGCGGTCGCGATCGTCTCGCTTGTCCCTCCGCTTCTCGCGCCTGCGCTCATCTTCACTATCATCGTCATATTTGCTCTTTGGTTTTGAAGCTTTCTCCTCCTCCACCAACTTCTGGTTCTCAAGTTTTGCCTTGAGTTCCTCCTCTGTGATGATCTCACCAGTATGCTTGTTCCGTAGCGTGACTGGATTGTAACTCTGGGCAACCTTTTTGCCTTTACCCTTGCCCTTGCCCCCGCCCCATTCCCCGAGCTCAATGCCCACTGCTGCATCCTCTTTTGCGCCAATGCCCAGCAAAGCTGGCCGCCGCTTGATCTCCTTCGGCTTCACAGAGGTGCCATTTTTTCCGATTCCTTCGCCATCTTTCCAACCCATACCGCGAAGTAGCGCAGCGCCGAATCCTTCGATTGGGGTAGCTTCGTAGGCTTCGAGCGTAGGGGCCTCGGGCGCGTTCTGCAAGTCGTGTTGAAATGCCTCCTCTTCAGTCTGTACAGGTATGACGAGATCATTATCCGTCGATTTGCCCGTTATCAGCGCTTCGAGCGCCTTCTTCTCCAACCGCTCTTGTTCTGTAAGATTGTCTTGCTCTACCTCCATCGGCTCCGGCGCGTCAGGCTCTGCAGAGCCTTCTTCTTGGGCATCGTCTTTCTTCATGACCGTCAGCCCGTACTGGTACTTGGGCTCCTCAATCTGCTTCTCGTCGACCGTTTCGTTCTGCGCTTGTTGATGCGGCGCCTTCGCAAGGTGCTTTCGCCGCGCTGCTGCGCGCCAATCGCGATTTGGCGGCACCGGAATGACACGAAGTTGCTCCTTTTCTTTCTTGCCGTTGGCATCAACCGCGCCACCCTCTGCTGCATCCCATCCTGTGATTTCTTGCTGTTTGACCGCATCGTCTGGTTCATCATCGCCGAGGAGAGCCTTCGGTTTTTTGTTGTCTTTTTGCGCTGGAGATGCTTTTAGTCCTGGCTTCGCCTTCAAGGCCCCCAGCGACATTTTGAAGCCGCCCGGCTTAGGCGCGGCCATGATGAAATGTGAGGCTCCGAGGAAGCGCTGATGATCTGATTTACACGTTTCGCTGGTATTCAAGCGAGAGAAACAGTATTTGCGATTGGGTTTGATGTAAGGCGCAAAGCAGGAGCGGTGGTAGTGGCGGTGATAAGGTGGTGATAGTGTTAGAGTTCAGATTGTTTCTTCAGAAATGTTTGGGTCGCGCGCGATGATGTCGGTCTTGGCGCTGCGGTTGCGAGATGGTCAACCTATCAACGCTTGACTAGTAACTAACGAAACCAGGGTCCTACCCAGACAACTGAAGCTTTTACCGAACCAAGTTGTCATGTCCTCATATCTCATTTCCTAGGTTTTCTTTATGACTACAATGACATATTATACACAAACGTACAAGGACTATTCGAGGCTTGTAAGCGGTGGAAACAGCACACCCTTGTACATTCCACCCAGCTCCACCAGTGGAGTTCCATAGTCCAAATCAGCGCCAGGCTTGCAGTACTCCAGCGTTCTGCGATCAGGCTGTACACCTAACTGGTCGAGCAAAGTATTTGTCTTGTTCGGCATGTAGGGCTGTAGCAGGATACCAGTGATGCGAAGTGCTTCAGAGGCAAGATAAATAATCTTATCCACTTCCTCGCCAGGCTCACCAGGACCGAAATGTAATACTTTATCCCAGGGCTTTGACATTTGGAAGAATGCATTTGACTTCTAGACGTCAGTAGTGATACAATGCAAGGGTGTTTGGTATCTTACTCCTCGTACGAAATTGCATATCTGGTAGGCGGCTTGGCGTGGATCGTAAGCCTCGAAAGAAGCCTCTACTTCTGAAGCGATCGTAGCAAGTGAGTTGTTGTAGAATCTGGCACCAGGACCTTCTTCCCAAATCTCTTTCGGACTTTGACCCATACGCTCAATAGCACCCCGGACACTCCACTTCTTACCTCTTGTAACACGAGAAGCAAGGTTACCGAGTTGCTGATTCAGAAATTTGGTATACACGCTGATGATGCGGTCGTTATCATAGCTAGCATCATCTCGTATGCCACCCTCAGAAGCCATGTAGAAGCGCATGACATCTGATCCGTATCTGTTGAGAGCATGGAAAGGATCTACTACCCTGCCAGTTGACTTGGACATCTTTGATCCCCCAAGAGTCCAATGGGCGTGGGTTAGTATCTTCTTTGGAAGGGGAAGTCCAAGTGCCATGAGAAAAGCAGGCCAATAAATGCAATGGAAGCGGACAATGTCTTTGCCAATGACGTGACAATCAGCGGGCCAGCCTCCTGCTTTTTCGTGCCCCGGAGTCCACGGGTAACCTGCCTTTGTAGCGTAGTTCATGAGTGCATCAAGCCATACGTAGATAGTCTGTGAATCGTCTCCAGGAACCCGAATTCCCCATGTAAGTCGATCGGATGGCCGGGAAATTGACAAGTCCTCCAGACCCGACTCGACCGCTTGCACAACCTCCTTCATACGATGTTCAGGCGTGATCCATTCAGGGTTTTCCTTGAAGAAATCTAGCAAATGGTCACGAAAGGCTGAGAGACGGAAGTGATAGTTCTCTTCAGAAGACCACTCCACTTCACTGCCTGTTTCAATTGATGTCTGTGGTCTGGTTAGTTCAAACGACGACGAGCGATTGGCTCTGTTATACCATTATCTTCCGTCCTGACGGTGGGTCAAGGTATGGCTGCACAGCAGACTGTGGGTAGAAGCATTCGTCCGTGACTGAATACCAGCCCTCATGTTTCTGCTCGTATATGAGGCCCTTCTCTTGTAACAAGTACTACACGCTGTCAGCTAATTTTGTGTCCTACAGTATACATCTAATTCCATACCCATGCGTATTCTACAGCACTCCTGTGTTCACGGTCGGTCGTTCGTACGAAATGATCATTTGTGATTTCCGCTTTTTGTGCAAGTTCCTTGGAGGGGTGAGTATCGATGGTGGGGCTCGTTTTGCATGCATGCGTACTTTGAAGATTTCGGCGCCCTGGTCGCAAAACAGCTTTGGATCGACACCTGCCTTGGCTGCTGCTCTTTGTACCTGCAGGAGGATTAGTGAATGGCATCTATGTATGTGAGGCGGAACCACCTTTAGGCCGTGTTCATCTGTCCCCGTACACAAAATAGCGTCCTCTCCCTTGAGTACGTGCCAACGCTTGATTACATCGGTAAGAACCATAGTATACAGGTGGCCAACATGAGGGGCAGCATTGACATAGAATATAGGCGTGGTGATGTAGTACGGTTTCTCAATGGACGTCTGGGTGGTGATAAACCGTCGATTGCGATTGCTATCGATTCGACATGACAACTGCATCCATGGTGAGCGCCTTTGGAAGCCGGAAGACACCCTCCGGAATGCCGGAATTGTCGTATTGGCTATTCGGACATGCATGCTTTCATGGTTGTCTCACATCTATTATTCGCGACAATTCTCGCGTGCACTTTCGGCGCGAAGCCACGTGCGGCGCTAGCTCAATCAGTTGGATCAACTCCCAACTTTCGCCCGTTACCCCACCACTTCACATACAGCAGCCATTACGACAAGGCTAGTCGTGCATATGCTGGCAGAGAAATCTAGAAGCATGTATTACATGTTTTGATTAACTTCTGTTGCGCTTAATACCAGTCAACCGATTCTTCTCCAAAGCGAGTTCCCGCCTTCGAGGCGTAAACCACCTCAATGGAAGACTATGATGACGTAGACATATGTAACTAATATCGCAATTGGTTCAATTCAGATCAGAATGACCACCCAATGACCTTTTTCAAGGGTTACAGGACCTGTATCCGACAGTTTGGACATACACCTAACATTCACAAAGGCAACGTGCATGAACACACGCAGCAAACATATTTATTACGACTTTGGCCCTATAATACTTACCACAGAATGACATACCTTGGAAAAAGTTCGCTCGATTCTCTACATTTACCCCCAGTGTTACTATTGAGCCAAGCTTCTTAAGATACACATCCTTGTATTTGAGCATCCGTATTATGAGTATGGAGGACTATCCTTCTTGAACTAGAAACGTCAGGTTATACCTCATAACCTTCGATGATTGGCTTTCTTCGCAGAATTGGTTGAACATATCGAGCGTTGCGCTAACATGCACAGTAGTTACTCCCAGCACACGGCCATCCTGTAAGCGAACTACCTTAATATTCGCAACAGTCTGGATCTTGCGCCAAATATACAGCGTACCCAATCGATGGCATCCCGCAGCCTAGTCACATCTCGACTAAAGGGGGCTCCCTGTCATGAGGCTGACGTTGGACGCTCGTGATTCGCGCCAAGCCCACGGTTTCTATTGAAGCTATTCAGACCCAGAAAAGGTAATCTCAACGACATACCTCCAGCACAACGGCTTCTTTGATAACTACAGTAATCCCTTTCATGAAATTTTGAAGGGACAGAAAGATTTGTACCCACATCATACATTGCTGGTTGGCGAGAGCATTCTGGAATCAAACTATCTGTCGCCATCGAAAGCCTTTGTGGTCTCAACGGTCTCTTTTTGATAGGCACTTTTTTTTTCATTGGCTCGCACTCATTTCTATCAAGAGGCATCCCTTTGTTGCCTTTTCCTTCACCTAATCGGACGGTTTAGTATTGCCTGAATAGCCATTGACCTCACTGTTTGTGAATCTATTGATCACCATGGGGTCTATTGACGTTATTGAGAGCAATGGACTTTGCGACTCACTACATGCCTTTATAGTTTTCGAGCTTAAATAATACGGATTCTCAGCAATATTGCCCTCATCATCGAGTACAATCTCAACGATCACCGTCAACAATTCGGTCACGAATCGATCTGCGACTCCAACTTTCAATATCGGACGACTAAGCAATCCAATTCTGCACTATGAGATTCAACGCTATTATCGCCTCCGCTATCCTTGCGGTCACAATCTCTGGCGCAGCACTTCCAGTGCCTGCCGAGGCTGCCGAGAAGCGTGAAGCTGAGCCGCAACTCCCAACTTGGCCGCGCCCGTATGGTATCCCTCATGGCATGGCCGCTGAGAAGCGTGATGCTGAGGCGGGGATAACTTGGAAACGCCCTTATGGTTTGCCACATGGTATGGCCGCCGAGAAACGCGAAGCTGAGCCTGAGCCACAACTCCCAACCTGGCCACGACCTATCGGCCTTCCCCATGGCATGGCCGCTGAGAAACGTGAGGCTGAAGCTGAGCCACAATTGCCAACTTGGCCACGTCCTTATGGTATCCCGCACGGTATGGCCGCTGAGAAGCGCGAGGCTGAAGCTGAGCCACAATTGCCAACCTGGGACCGCCCTTACGGTATACCACACGGTATGGCCGCTGAGAAACGTGAGCCAGAAGCCCTCGAGGAGTAAGCATCTCGCCAATATTAATAACCTCCAAAGGTCACGATTAAAGGCCACGAAGATTGTTGCAATTCCACATTCTTATCAAAATAACTCCTATTCTTTTGGATACTCTCGGCGGATTCCCCAATCATCCTCCAATCTCTACCTATCATGCTTGGGTACCTGTGTTGGAATATAACAATCCGTCGCATCGTGTATATTTTTTTCGAAAGCTCTTCATTTTGACGTCGTATATAGTGGCATGAACCAGCATTTGACTGGTATCTACTACAGAGCAGGACTGGTATCTCTCTTTTTGTTGGCACCCACGGTACAGGAGAATGCCCATGCATGTTGGGAAGAGGACCGGTCTCTTATCATGAAAATTCTTTTTGTATGTGTTCTTGGACATAGTCTCCGCTTATTTAGTTTAACTCATGTCGAATCGTACCAAATTTGCTCCTTTCCCGTGTACGAATGGTATGGGCGATTTTTTCATCATTTATTTCGACATAATCGTTAAACAAAATTGAATATATGACCGTTCTGGTACTCTTGTTCCTGTACCGCACCACCTGACACCAACAGTCGTGACACGCTCATATCCCATCAATCAAACAAACATCAACACAATTACACTGTCACGACCCGTAACCATGGTCAATTACATCCCGATCCCATGCCCGTATCTTCGCGTGTTACGCTACACAAAGCGATTCTGACAGCTGTCAGTACCACCGTCTGCTGTAACCTCTAAATGTGCTCCGCATCGGTAATAGAGTATTCTTTGTTCATGCAGGCATCCGTTGTCATTCACATGTTCATTATAGTTGATCCAAGATACCTGTCAGGATAAACAGCGTGTGACTTTGATATTAAGGTGATATACTGGAAGGGTTCGGACTAAGGGAGGGACAGGCACGGAACATTGGTGACGAAGGTGATGTGTGCGATCAAACTTTCAGTGGGGCTAGGATACGGATAAATGAATCAGGCTGTGTGTAATGCATATTGAACCCACAAAGTTCATGCTGAACCTGCCATGACATCGTTTGAAACCCTTACTGAACGACATTAATGTTCCAACGAGTCGGAAGTTGAGATTTTATGTTCTCATTGTCTTGAAATTGTATTTATTTACTCACATTTTTTGTAACCATCAAACCACGCCTTGTCCAGCATACTGACAACACCCTGGAAACCCAAATACCCTCACCAACGCAACACACCTTCCCCTCTTGCACACATCAACGCATAAATTTCAAGTAAAAAGCCATACTTACTCAGTCACCACCCCCTTCACCCTCGCATCCGCATCATGCACAACAAAAACACCACTCTCAAACCTCGTCCTCTATTCAATTTGTCAAACACAACCCAACCCCCCGCTTATCCTTCCCCCCAAACCCACTTACTTTCCACCAACGCTTTCCCCCATCCTCCGCTTAGACCAAAAAAAATCCGGTACACTAAATTCCCTAGTAAAAAAATAGTTTCCCTAGTACTAGCCCCTAGTTTATGTAGCCCCCAAATTCAAGAAAGTAAACAAGCAAAATCCCTCCCAACCTTGTATCAACCGAAAAAACAAGCGGCTTACTTACTACGAAACCGCCGTCCCCCCCTTCCCCCCCTCCAAACCGAACTCAAAAAACAACACGCGAGAGAGAGAGAGTGGGCTACGAAGGATTTGGTGGAAAATCCAAATAACTTGCATAGATACCCTGGCACTTTATTTGACATGCTATAGTAAGCTAAGCGGGATCAACAAGAGGACGAAAGAGGGAAAGAAAAAGTGGGCTAGAGATTGGGGGAGGGGGCTGAAAGTACGCCAAGACGAGTTGATTGAATCAAGAGACAGAAAGAGAGTTGTGGAGCCTCCAGACGCGCGGGCTGGGGGGGTTGTATTTTTCTTTCGGGGTTATGCCAAGGGTAGCGAAAGTTCCCCCAAATGTCCAATGTACTATGATCATACGTACGTACGTACTTTTGGTCCGAGGGATGGGGGGGGGGGGGGGGAGGTGTGCGTTTTTTGTGTGTTGCCCGGTTGCGAATTGTATGAAGTAGTAATAAAAGAACAAAAAAAAGGACTTTGTGCAATAATGGCAGCACACATGTCTTTGAAAATGAAACATAATTTGCAGCTTATTCTATGATTGTTCTTGTTGTGGCCTTTTTTTTGTTCGTTCGTTCTCGTATTCGTTGCATGGGTGAGGGGAGGGGTTGCATGGCTAGGATGCGTTCAAGCGCCGTCAATGCGTTGACGGGTTGAGGCCAAAGTTACCGCTGGCTCGGGATCGGGTAATGACAAATATCGCGCTTCCGTTTCTCTTTGGATCGGAAGAGAGCAGGGTGTTCGCTTAGGACGTGTGATGGGTGCCGTGTGTGTGCTGATGCCGCGTTTGTCAAGTTGCGTTTTATTTTGGGGGTTAGGTTGGATTTGAAGTTGCGGGGGTGGTGGACGAGTTACGGCGAAATTGAGGTAATTAGTGGTCTTTTTTGTTGGGGGCTTGGGTGGTACGACAGAGATTGATGGAGGGGGCCGAATGCAAGGTACCATGCGTGGATGGTTATCGGACACCGAGATATGAATATTGATATACTTTGGCGTCTTTTTATTCAGTTTCTATTTTGTACCCAGGATTTGGGGGTTGGTTATGTGAGTATGTGGCACAGGTCCAAGTTAACAAACAACTGTGGAGACAAGATAATTGTTGCCGTTCCAAATAGTAACAAAGATAGTTATCTCGTAACGAGACAGAAAAATGCATTCGCAGGCAGTCTAAGAAGAGTTCACGACACAAGACAGAGATAAGTCGTAAAGTCATTTCATTCGTTATAATACCCATATTCGATTTCTACTGTCTCTCCCCTTCTCCTCACATGACATCAACCTAACATTGTTCACCTCCAATACCTCGATGTAAACAGTAGCTTTTCAACAACAACAAACATCTGCCATACCCTCAAATATATCCAATAAATGAGTGCGCGAATGTCTGTGCTAAGCATGACTCCCCCATACATGCAATCTTTCCAACACATTAACCATGTCCAAAACCAAAACTAATTGTCGTCTCTGACCTTGCGGCCCCGCTGAGCGTTCAAAGTCTTCAGATGTATGCATTGAAAATAAGCATGTAGAGAGAAGGAACGCGAGAAGAAAACAAAACAAGACATGTGTACTAAGAGAAGAAACAGAACATAAAAGGGTATAATAGCGGGTCATGATCAGCTCACCAAAGTGTGCTGGTAAAAAAAAGACTTCAAGAGTGGAGAACGTTGGAAATTTGAAAGGAGAATGAAAAAAAAACTCGCCTGCTCGCTTGCTGCGAAGAAAGGGACAAAAAAAATCAGAATAAACTCCAAGGAAAAATTGAGAAACATTCTCGTGGTTACCCTACATGTTAGCACCATTGACATTGACCTGATAGCCGTCGCTTTTGGCCTTCAAAGCTTTGGCCAACATGAGCTCACGCATCCAGTCGATCCTCTGATCTTTGGTAGTGACGGCAAAGTGTTGAACCTTGCCGTTAGGCATTAGCTTCTTGACATCGCCTTTGCCAGGAGCGGTGGGCACAAGCTGAAACTCAAAGGCAGGCGCGTTGGCAGCCGACTTGTCCTTGTGATGTCCCGAAGAGAGCTTTAGGGCCCTGAGCTTGCTTGATAGCTTGTTTGAAGCGAGGGACGAGCATGCCACAGCATAGTCATCTACATCAATGGTTTGAAGTGCAGACGAGGACGGAAGCTCATTGGGGTGCATGGCCAGCAGTGTACCCTGGAGCCGGAAGTGGTGATCTTGCCATTCGTGGCGCAAGAGTTTGGTCCGGCGCTTCTTCATCCAACCATGGTGGTTGACGCCCTTGTACACGAAGCCACCCTTATGAAGAGGTGCAACGGTGTCTTGGGCCTCCATGTCAAATGGCTTGGTGGCTTTGAGCGGTGATGAGCTGGCACTGTCAACGGGGCTAACTGAGTCATCGAAGATGGTTTCGCGCAAAGTGTCGTCATCTGAGTGGGCGGTTGGGCTGAACACGCGCTCTTCAGCTAGCGCTGGCATGGGCAGTGATGGGCGTCGCCGGTCGTGACGCGAGCCAGACCTGTAGAGTTGGGGCTGGTACTGCATGTTTGGGGGCACGGACTGGCTTGTGTCGCGGCTGAGAGGCTCTGGTTGTACGGCGGTCACAGGTACATCCATCTCGGAGAAAGGCGTGCCGAATCGGTAAACCCCACCCGGTGAAGCTGTCCTACAAGGCGAAAAGGCGCTGTCCGGTGCGAGGTATTGGTGTACCGGAGCACCGCTACGTGGGTTGCCGACAGGCTGGACAGACATTGCACGTGCCGGGGGAATGGTCAATTTGGGAAGGCTCTTGAGGTTCGAGTGAGGCGCTGGGATGAACTCTGGAGGGTGGAGAGCTGGGGTCGAAGGTGTGTGTGCGAATGTCTCGAACGACCTAGTGGTATGTGCTGATGTAGATGCGGAGAAGGCCGAAACCTGCGGGCAGTACTGCTGCTGTGGTATCACCAAGAATGGACGGGGTGGGTATATCTCGGCTGGTGGGGTGGGAGGCGCCTCGATTGGAGTAGCGGTTTGGTAGGGTTGTTGCTGGCCCTGTAGGGTGAGGAATTGTCGCACATTGTCCTGTGGGTCGCGTTGCTCAAACTTTTGCAGGTCTTGGAGGGAGAAGTCTGGTAGCTGGCCAGGGCCTAGCACGTCAGACGATGCAACCACAGAAGGGACCACAACGGAGGGCGCGGATTCTGAGTTGGGGCGGTGGACGTTCTCGACAGCATGGCTTGCAGTTTGGGCGTTGCCGGGATCGCCAGCAATGAAGATGTGGCCGCCCTTTTCGGGAGATATGGGAAAGCCGTGTTCCTGCTGGAGTCTGGCGAGCTGTCTTTGTTGCTTCTTCCACTTGGAGCACCGTTCACCCTTTGCGCAGACGTGGGGCTTGGGCAATAGCTGTTCAATCGCGACAATCGAGACGGAATGCGCAGGCGTGATGAGATCGTCTCCTAGATTGCGGCCGCGTGACTTGTCACGGCGACTGGCTTTCCGACCCTTGCTCTTTGATCTGTTTCTTGCCTCTTTGCAAGGGCGCTCGATGTCTTCAAACGGGGTTGGGATGGCGGCAGGAGCGGTTGGAGAGATGAGACCTTCTGCGGTGCGGAGAGAGTCAATCTGATTCCATAGTTGATGTCTTTTGCCAAAGGACTGGATCTCCAACTCTTTTAGATCATCAAACTGCATATCTAGCAGGACAGCGCCCGTGATGTCGTGTCCAATGAACTTGTCAATGATGTCGTCTTCAAACCCATTCTGATACATCCAGGTAGCCACGTCTTGAGAAGTCCAAGCACGAACTTCGGCATTGTCAAGGTGGGCTACAGCGAGAGCGATGTTGTTGTACTCTTTTTGGGGCACGATTGTTTCTGGAGTTGCTTCGCGGAATGCTGTTTGTTG